TTGTTTTTTCATCGAGTTCTTGTCTTTGACAGAGAATCATCCATGGTATTTTGAATACAAGTATTGGATGAACCAATTTGACTTTCATAGCCTTCACAACCTGAAAATTTAAGGCAAGATAAAGAAGAAATGTTATTTGAATGCCTAATCCGATTGCATTTAGAAGTGCTTGTAGTTCATTTTTTAGATACAAGTCCTAATTCAAGTGCTCTAGCTTTGATCATCTTATTGAAAGTTGGAAGAATCACCTTTCTTGGACCTAAAACTTTATTTGGAAGATGTTTTAAAGGACTTAAAAGATATGGACTTTTGGATTAAATGTTTCAACAACATAAGTCTTGATTAGTAGCTATTGATATTATTCCAAAGGACAAATTGAACTTATTGACAATAAACCTCAAACAAAATATTACTTCACTTCCTCAAAAAAATATAGACTTTTATATATATATAAAATTTAACCATTAGTTTCCTTTAAAACTCATCTCTAAAAGGAGAAGTGATGTTATAGACACATTCAAATCTATTACCTTTTAGAATTTTCTACAATCTTCTAAAAACTTCTAGAATCTTTGTAGTTTTTTAGAAGCTTCTAGAATCTTCTATAGTCTTTTAAAAACTTCTAAAACTTTTCATAGTCTTATTAAAGTTTTTTAAACCTTCTATAGTCTTTTAATAACTTCTAAAATCTTTTGTAGTTTTCTAGGAGCTTTTTAAAGTCTAAAAGAATTTTTACCTATTCAATACTATTTCTACCATATGCCACCTTCTAAGCACCATAACTCTTTGTTCATGCCTTTAATTGACATAATTTTAGACATTCTAGAATTGAATTATTGTAGAGTATTTATTTTTCAATTTTTCTTCCTTGTAACTCTTATTTTTTGTCAATAAAAAACATTCATTATATAAGATATTCTGTCACTTAGGTTAATTTAGTCCCACCACCATACACACCACAAGGTCTAGGTATCACTTTTGAGTTTTTTTTATATCTACGCTATTGTAGGTACTTATAGAAAAAAGATGTATGACAATTTTCCTTTCTACTATCCTTTCTTGATTGTTATTCTCGAATACAATAGTAAATATTTTCATAAAAACTTTTATGTTGCATAAAATTAGGAGATTCTCTTCCAACAATGGAAAAACAATGATCAAGTTCTACTTGATAAAAAGAATGCCTATAATAGCAACTTAAATTAAACCATCTAGACAATAAGAAGAATATACCCGTAAGTAGAATTATATTTGTTGCACAAACTTTAAAAGTTCAACTTTGTACTATCAAATTTATCAAGCATACTAGCCTTTGATTCTTTGATGGCAACTTTTGAAACTTCTATAAGAATTTTATGCATAGCTTGTTTGTACTTATTTCATTCAATTAAATAATTTCTTATTGCAAACTATGAATCTATCATTTTATTTTACTGATTACAAATCTAAAATGGATATCTTTATTTGGATTGCAAAACAATATCATTTCTTTTCACACACTATTTACAAAAGCTCAAAGGTTTATAAAAGTTACTATTTTATTTTGTACTTTGAAGGTATACCTCCTATGATTTAATCTACTTCATATTGACAAGGAAGAAGACACATATTTCATGCAATATTTTTTGTACTAAAAGAAACTCAAAAAAATACTATCAAAGAATGTGAATTTAGACAAGGTTGAACTATAACCTTTGTAACACAACAGTTTTTCTTAAAAAAGAGGTAATCCACTCTCTTCAACAATAAGTAAATATATCGATTTAGAAGGGGATAATTTGTATTTCCTGTAAATTATAATAATAACACCAAGAAGGGTGAACCAGAATTCTAAGAAATGCATTGTGAAAACTAATAATCTTCTCAACCATAATTCCAATATATACTAGATATTATGAAGTTCTTCCATAAACTTCATGTAAGCCAATTTATAAAATTTCATCCATCTTACAACATCCATCCGTCTGAGATTCATTCATCCAATTTCCATCCCATATCTTAAACTTCATCTTAGCAACATTCATCCACCATAACCATCATCTATTCAGCCGCCCATACATTCATCCAACATCCACCGCACTTGCAATATATATCCCAAAGATTAGAATTATATACCCAAACTTTGAAAATTCATAACTAATTCATTATCACTCGGATTTGAACGTGCCATATACCATTGGAAAGATAATTTAATTCAATACAAAGAAAAATTATCAAACTATGTTGGAGAACTCACCTCGCTCCATCAGCCATGCTTCAGCTGCCGCCATTGGAAAAAATCTCAAGACAATAGAACTAAACTTTGAAAATTCATAGTTAATTCATTTTTTCTTCAAATCCAACGTGCAATATAGATCCAGAAAGCTACTGCAGTCTTCTATAAGAAAACAATATCAAATCAGGTGTGCCTCCTTACCTCAGTCAAGCAGCTCCGTTTAACCGTACATAGGTAGTAACAAAAACACAACTGTGTATCCAATCTTTGAAAAATCATATCTCACTCATTACTAAACCAAATCACACATTTTAAACGGAAATGGAAAGTTAATGAAGTGATCTATAAGGAAAATTTATGAAATTAGAGGTACAAACTTATCCTAAGACGTCAGATCAGATCTAGCCGCCGCCACCCGAATCAACACCTCAAAATCTCCTTCACCTTTGAAAATTCATAACTTTTTGTACACACAACCAAATCACAAACAGAAAACGGCTATAGAAAGCTAAAAGAGAGATCTATAAGGAAAAAAAATTACTAAGTCTTACATTGAACATTAAAAATAGGGCCTATTGGCTGACAACAGCCGAGGAGGTTTCAAACCTCAACTCCAAGACACAAGAACACTTCCCAACTACATTCTAAGAGACTAAGGGAGGGGCTGAATACACACAACACACACATACACTCCCTAGGGTGAGAGAGAGAGCTCTTAGGGGGAGAGAGTGAGAGGAGGAAGAGGCGGCCAAACCAAGCCAACCCCTTAGAGCCCTAGCCCCAAGTCTCCAAAGTCAAAGGAAGAACCCTACATGGCCCCCCTTTTAGCTTTTTATCCAAATGGCCGACTTTTTAACCACACAAAGGGCTGGTCCTTCTTTTACCACACCCTTTTTCACCCTTTTAACCTCTTGCAAACCCAACTAATCACCTATCCATTGTCCTATTAATTGCCACTGGATAGGTCTTCACCCGCTGCAGTTACCTTCAATTTAATCTTAAAGTAATCGCCGTCTTCAACTTAAGTTTTTAATCATCTTCAATCCCCTACATTTTTTACTTAACCTTCAAAACCGCCACCAACTCCTTCTTTTTATAATTCAAAATTTCTTCCACTAATACAAAACATTCTCTATTGATAAAATCCTTGCTAAGATAAAAAGCTAAATTGGATAATAATTATTATCATTATTATTATTATTATTTTTCAAGTAACCATCAAGTCCCCTCTAACTCTCTACTTAAAAATCTAAATGAGTCATAATCCAACCCAAGGACGGTTGGATGGATATACCCTACTTCCAACGAATAATTGAGACTATTTCAAAGACAATACATCTTAACTATTAAGTTCTAAAGCTAATTTCCTATTAATTCCATCCATTGACTAAGTTTTTATTCTAACTACTATGTGAGTCAAAAAATTTGGCTCACACTTCTACATAGCATAGAGGTGAAGCAACCTTAAAATCCTTCTCATGTAGCTTCCTGAGTATTTTCTAGATCTCAGAGGACATCAGACATTCACATGCTGGTGTGATGGAATAGAAGCCTGAGATAGGAACAAGTAGCAATGTATATTGGTGTCTCCAATTAAAAAATTCCCTAGATTCATGATCAGTTGTATGTGAGCATTGGCTTTTGAAGGATGTCTAGAGTTGCATAGAGTCCAGAGGTCTAGTTTCTCTGCATAAGTTGCATTTACGATGGATCTTCACAAATCTTGTATTTAACCCCTAAAGGAGAAATTGTCCCAAAATGGGTTTTTTGAGAATTCAGGCAGGTTTCTATGATGTCAATTTTAAGTATATTTTATTGGAACTTTTTTTTGAAGGTGTAGGAATGTCAGAGCTTCATGGGGATCTAATTTTTTATTATCATTTTGACATTTCAAAAAAAAGAATATAATTCCCTAAGCAAAAATTCCTACTTGTTGAGCAACTCAGGTAGCATAGCAAAATCAATCCATTATTTGCGAGAATTTTTGTACTGTAAGCTAATATCATAGTATTTGATAATTTTGAAAAAAAAAAAAAAAAAAAAAAAAAACTACTTTTTTCTTCTTTACCATATAAAATGATAGAGATTTTGTTTTTTTTTTTTATACTTTTAATTTTTTCTACTTTGAAAAGAAGTATGAAACTTTGTTTTCACCGTTTGGATTTTGAATTTTCAAGATCCTCAATTTACAAAAAAACAAAATGCAAATAAGTGAGTTTTGAACCCCTTCTACTTGCAAGACTATTTTGAGAATGCTACACACTTTTGTTACATTTGAAATTTGGGAATAGTATAGCTTATATGGTCTACTTTTATTTGGTAAAATCTCCTCAAAAGAAAAGATGCAAGAAATATTTTTATAAAGAGGAAACTAAGTGCACTAATCCTGTTTTACATGGTCCAAAAATCACTATATTTTTCATTTCAATTACTATAATTTTCTAATCCATACGGTGAAAAAAATTGAAAAAATACTATTTATTCTTATAATATTCTAAATTAAGATCTTATGGTTGAAAATAGGAATTGGAGTTATTTTTCTCTTCCCCTCTTTTTGCACTAGAATATGAAATGTTTTTGGTAAGAAATTCGCAAAGAACTTTAGGGGTTAATGATGGATCTTTACAAATCTTCAAAACCACACTCCTCAACGAAATAAAATAGGAGGCTAGGTTTCACCATCGTGCACAAATGGGCGACCGTCTGGGGAAGCCCGGTGCTTCCAAGCTATTTTAGGACTGGTTTGGTTGCCTTGGTATTGTACAGTTTTGACCTGGGTATCAGGGTACTGGTCCAGGCTTCGAGCTAGGGTTTGTTTCGTCCTTTGCCCCAACTCAGTTACTTCTTTCAGACGAGTTTGACTTTAGTCGCTGGTCATTGATGCCGGTGGACATTCGAGACGTTGCTCTCGAGAAATTTTCTGCACATTGATACTGGTGCAAGGCTAGTTGAAGCTGATCCGAAACGGTGATGAGGAGTCATGGTAGTTTAGGCGATCGGGATCCTCGGATCGGGCTCTCATCATTGGTTGCCTACTAAATTGGGTCGTGGAGAAGAATGGGCGACGGTGTTGGAAATTTGGAAGAGCAGATACGATGTGTGGGGGAACAGATAAGAAGAGTGGAGGAGCAGATCGACAGATGCCCTGACGATGAGGAGAGAAAACTACTCCTGGGCAAGGAAGCGCAACTCCGGGTTGAGAAAGCGCAACTCCGGGAGCAAATCCTGCAAGGACGAGGTCACTTCTCTCACTTGTCACTAAGGGCTCATCTGCTCATTATTTTTGTCATTTAATTTTCTCGAGGGCTGCTGGATTCTTGGGCGAGGGCTTATTTCATGGTTATGGATTTAGGGTGGGCATAGGATTAGATAATTTACATCATTGACCGCGAGGGTTTTGTAGCTGGTTCTCTGTTGCCGAATTAGGTGTTCTAGATTTTGTGTACCATTTTATTGTGGGGCGTTTGGAATCAGTCCGTCTCTAGGGTTGTTCTAGGACCCGTTGGGATCCTTTTGGGTTTGGTGATGCGTGTGAAGGTGCGTGTACATCAGCTTCAACCGCACATTGTGTTGTGCATGCAGACCTAGGCACAGAATACGAGTGGCTGGTGCAGAAGGTCGTGGCGCCGGCTCCCTATTCAGGAGCTCGCATTTATCCAAGCAGCTCGAATCAGAACCGCATGTGGATACCTGTTAAAGTAGAGCATTGGGACGTGAGGGGCAACATTGAAGAATTTCTAAGTAGCGCAGATAAAAAGAAGCGTGTGCATAACCTGGATATCACCCGTATCACTGGGAACATTGAAACGGTAGAGAAGGAGGATGTATATATGGTCCATTCTATTCTGAAGGAAATGCGGACTTTTATGAACAAGAAGGAGCCGCTGTCTAAGTTTAGTGTTAAGCCGCAGCTCCGTATGCTCACAATGAAGAGAGGGAAAAATGACGAAGTAGGATTGGGTGAGGGTGCGACTGCAAATGGCATGATTGACGTCTACACCAGAGGCCCTATAGCAGATTTCGTAGTCACTTTAGGGGAGAAGAATGGTTTGGTCGTCGAGGTCAAGAATGGAGGTTTGGGACCTGACCAAGGTGGCTCCTGGGATCTCCACAAAGCTTGGGCAGAATGCACTTGCAAACAAGGTCCTATCTGGCCCTATCCCATATTTTCTTGGTGTGGTCCAACTCTCAAGTCGTTGCAAGAATTCTGACGGAGGTTTCTATAAATCCAGGAGAGGGCGATCTTATTTGCAGTTGCAAAGTTTTTGGCATCACGCCGGCTTGTAGAGAAAAGGTCATGCGTTGTATCAATTAGCCGTACGAGTACATGATTTTGTAAGCTGCTTTTGAACCTTTGATTATCTTGGTAATTTTTCCTCTGGGCTAGATCGGGTTGGAGCTCAGACGTTTACTTGCTTGGCCTTTGCCTTTGCCAGATCCCTTTTCTTACTGCCTGTTTGATCTTGGTTCTATGTTGGCTCACCTCAAGATCGTCTTGTTTTCTTCAGTTTACTCGTATCTTCCTTCACCTTACCAGTGGGCTTTTCTTGGACCGTCTTGGTTTCTGGATCTGTGTTTGGAAAAGCGTACCCGTGGCAGTTCTCATTTTGCCATCCTTTGGCTCTGAGTTGCAGGTCTAAGGTGGGTTACGGTGTCCTGACCGATGTTGGGAATTGGTATCTCTTCAATCGGGATAATGCCGGCTGCCTCAAAATATCAGCTGGTTTGAAGGTGAGTGGTGAGCCCCCGCGTGTGCTTGCTGCGTTGGCATATTTGGTGCACACTGCTTGGGTGGATAATTCTGAGTTTGGTGAACCAACGGCCAATTTCCCATAGTATCTGAAGCCGCCCCTCCCGAACCTTTCGATGAAAGCACCGATGACTACATCGGTGATCCAAACTATCGAGCACGTGGGAACGATAACAGTGGCTCTGAAACTCGAAGGTAACTTATCCAGCCAACCATCCAAGTTGTTCCATGAAGTCGGTCACGTGGACGAGAGCACATGGTGAAATGACGGCAACTGCATTTGCAGGTCAGGAAGAACTCGGCCAGGTGAGGAGCAGCCGGCTTTGCAAGATGTCCCCGCTGAGGACCTGAACCTGAAAAAGGCGGGTGGCATCATAAGTTGTGAGGGGTGGAGTGGATACGTTGTTATTGGCCGTTTGCATGGACAACCTGTTGCATTGAAGTTTGCCTACTTAGGCACGGAGCGTGCAGAGGTGATCCGGTGTTGTGTTATGTGGAAACGTTGAGTTCACATCTCGAAGTTGGTATTACTTTATCTAATCTAGGGCTGAGCTAGAGCGGTCTTATTGGTGACAGCTTTAGTGGCTGGTAGTCTAAGGTAGCTGCAACGTGGAGCATGCTGGGCTTCAAGTGTATGTGCAGTTTGCGACACTTTACCTGTCTGTGATCTCATTCTGTCCAGGCCATCTTTTGGCCGTGGTTGTGCAGGCTCTTCTGAAGGAGGTGGTTGCCTACACGAAGGAGCTTTGGGGGGTTTTTGTTCCCCGATTAATAGGATATGGAACCACAAATAAAGGTCAGGTTGTATTTGTCGCCATCGAATTGATTGAAGGCGTTGAACTTGGAAAAGGTAGGGTTTCTTGCGAAACTCTCAAATGTGGAGTACATCACTCTCCAAATTCTTGCCTTGACGGTTTCTCATAGCCCGAGCATGGTGATTCTCTGACGTGCCTCTTGGAAGGGCTATCCTCTTTCTTCATCTGCAATCTTCTGGCAAATCGTTCATTTATTTGCTTTTCCTGTGGTGATCATATTTCAGTGGTGGCGACCAAGGAGGTGACGACTGCAGCACTTGAAGCGCTCGATGCAGTCCATGCATGCGGGTTGCTTCATGGAGATGTGTCCCCAAGTAATATTATGGTGGTCTGGGGAAAACAGCCCCCTGTTCGCGTCCTGGATTTTGGATTCTCGTCTATTACCAGCAACAAGAAGTTACAGAAGGCAGAGCGCGTGCGCTTAGAACGCCTCTTGACACTGACGGTGAAGTAGCGATGAAGGGGCAAATGCTTCTTCATGTCTTTTTTTTCTGCCCTGGTACGTTTTGTAAGTCCCACGCTCACGTGGATGTGGTTGTAAATAAGTTACATGATAGGTTCTGGGCCTGGAGATATAAGGTTCCTAGTATTAGGAGGTGAAAGTATCATTTCCTCATATTTTTTCTATTCAGGTGAAAAACTACACAAGAAGGTTATACAGTACACAATTTTCTATGTGGCACTCTTTGTTTTAATGGCACAAAAGCCAGGGTGCTATTTGCAAGGCATGCCGCTTTTGATTCATTTGAATTCATCTAGCACGGGCTGAAGGTATTCAGTTATGAGAACTAGAACTTGAGTTGAGTTGAGTTCACGAAGAACAATCACGAATGATTTCTTTGTGTTTGAAACAAATAGAACTCACATATTAAGTGAAATTTTAGGATGCACAACAATTTGCCTGTTAATATTGTGTAAGTTTCCATGGCATGTTGTCCTTGCATGAGGGCATTTACATGCCATGGAAACTTCAACTTCCTGATGATGTGAGTTGCCCCTCTCTACTGTACTTGTGATTTGATGGATTGAACTTCTTGCTTCACCTCTATTTATTGATAATCTGTGTCAAGCCTTGAGAGGAGTTAGGTCGAATTTGGAAACGGAGGCATGTTGGTTACAGTACACAACTCATGTCTTGTAACTCATTTGCTTGTATCAGACGTGTGTAGGATTCTATAAATAAAATTTGAGCAATCAACAGAAGCTTTATGAAGATTTGCTGATCAGTTCATCATAATTCATTCAAGGTTCATGGAATTATCTTCAGAAATCAGAAAGCACAGGATACATTTAGCCAAGCCTGTTCCAACTCTTTTCCACAACTGGTTCCAGTAGGAACCTACGATTACTTTTCAGGTCACAAATATACAAATGTAATTTATAGGGAAGGTAGCGATGCTGACAACACATTCGGTAACCGCCTACTATTTACTATTTGCTCATAGACTCTGGTCAAATCCGCAAGGGGGTGTGCCAAGAGGGGTGATTACAAACGGTGCAGGTGGAAATTCTTACTGGGGAGGAGTATCACACACAAGAAAACAAGCACTAATAGAGACGAAAGAATACTATCAAATGAACGAGTGGGAAGATGGATGCCTTATTTGCTATTGACTTGAATGCCGACTTGCATGTAGTAGGAATACTCTACTCTCTGCATCAGTATTTCCTTAAACTCACCAACTGAAAATCGGATTTCTTGGTCTGGTGCAATGCATGAGTCTAAATCAACGTACGAGGGACATGACGAATTCATCCCACTTTTCATCCACTTGCAAATACAATGCCACTGTTGCAAGAAAACTACTCAACGGAGACAACACAATATTCAACATTGTGTGTTGTTTCTTACAAAGTTGCCGTCGCTATAAGTCGGTCTGATTACATGGCAGAAACAACGGCTTTGTGGTGTTTTTCTCCACTGCATCCAATAGTTGTCATAGTGCATCCTAGTTGTAGAGAGGCAATCATACAGTGCGATCCGGTGTCAGTGGCTCTGAAGTGCGATCAGGGTGTCAGCTTGGAGTATCACGATGACATGAGTAATGCTAATCTGGATTACAGGCCAATTTCTTGTTTATATATTGCACATGCGAGTTAGAATAAGAAAAGGACATTCAAAAGGTGGGACATTCATTTGTTTCTTTGAATGGTTCAGTACAGATCCAGAGTTTCATTATAGTAAGACCCAGCGTCAATGTTTAATTTCTTGATGCGCATACTCGGCCAAGTAATGGATCTCATCACTTGCAAGGCCTTCCTTCTGAGGCCTGTACCTCAATATTGGGGCCATGGTCCCACACGCTCACATCACCCCAGTATCCGCTTATCTTCAGGTTGCCCTCTGTCCAATCTCGGATTGGGAATGAACTTTTGGATTCTAGGCCGATGTGAGGCCGGTTCCTAAGCAGGGGTGTCGACTCTTACTGGTCCCGTCAGGTAGAATGTCAGGTAGAATGTCAAGCTAAAGGCTCTTTGCTCCTCGTGAAACTCGCGTATGGAGAGACTTATCTGTCATGTTTTGCGTAAAACAGCCCAAACCATTCATCTGTGTTGAGTGGAGGCGGATCATTGCCAATGTCTCATCAGGTGAAGCCAGTCGCGAGGAATGTGGATGATGATGCCCTGCCACTTTCTTTGTCCATCGTTTTGAAGGCCGTATCTAGTTTTAAGTACCTCCCATGACTAGAGGCCGAATTGGGTAAATGCCATAGTGCCCTTATTGTTCTGAGTCTGTTTCTAGCCAGAATTCCACCTCTACGAATCCCCAGCTTGGAGAAATCACTCACAGATCTACAAGTTTCTTCGTTGACATATGCCCGTGGAAAAGGTCCGCTGGGAAGGTCCATTATTCTCGATATTGGACACCTATATTCAACCAGAAGCTCATACATGCATCAAATGAGCCCCAACATTGATTATATTTTGAAAAGAAATCTGCAATCCTGCAACAAGTGAATGACTAAAGGCTCTCAATTTAGAGAAACTGAAGCTCACAACAAGAGCGAGGTCGCCACTCACTTTGTTCCGAGCATTACAACTCTCGCAAACTTTGTTGTTGTCCAAATCCAGATTTATCAACGTTTTGAGCCTTCCCAGAGCCCTTGGAACAGATCCATGCGATCCCACATCTGTCAAGTTCCTGAGAACGTGTGTCTAAGTGCACCATGAATATTGTCGTCAATCTTCCTAGCGAACTGCTCTTGATTGGAAGAAAGTTTCCTAAGTTTCTACTCAGACATATAGTGATCAATTGCAAGTGGTTGAGCATCAAGCCCTGAAGTGAGTTATCTTGTTCAACTCACAAGGTGATGACATTACCTACCGTGTCACTATCGATCCCCTCCCAGACACTCACACAAGGGTGTGTGCCGGCTGCGGATGTGAATTTCAGGGCTTGAATTCTGATTTGGCAGGAATTGAGCTTAATGAATTCCCCGCCCGTGAATTCACTACGAATCCCACCGAAGAAACAAATTAATCACTGTTCCCAGTAATCCTTGCCGAAACACTAAATGCTACCGAAGTAGAATAACCAACCAACTCCAACCAAGGCCTCAACCGAAGCATTCTAAATCTGTGTAGAGCAGCACCAGTACGTCTCTGAGCATCTCCACATGATATACATCTGAGCATGCAAGCACAATGCTCAGCCTGCATCATATACTGCGATGTATCCCATCTGACAAAACCAGGCCGAGTGCAATCTTAGTCACCACATAAAGGTAATAACTGTTGATTTCATACTAATGAGAGGCTCCAAAAGTCTAGCCCCACATTCCTGTACCCAAAGATTCCTCTTAAAATGTGTTTTGGACTTCGTCATTGTCTCTAGTGTCATACCCATGCTGATTGAGGTAAAACAAACCAGCTGAATTTTTTGAATTAGGAATTTTTTTCTCCTCACTAGGACTTACAAGCTCCTCACCATCACTACCTTTCTCCTTACCCATTACTATGGTGAAGAAAATAAAATCCCCCTTTTAATTGGGAGGTTGAGAATTCCAAACGTAATCAATAAAGTTATTTGGTTAAAGTAATGCCATTTGCATTTTAGAATCAAACTAATTGCAATGCTAAATATAATTCATATTTAGATTCCATAGATTGACCAAGTTGCAGCTGAATTGCCATTCATACCCTGTTGCTATTTTTAATTAACACTTTAATTTGAAATTCCTGCTTTAATTCCAATCTGCAATTATTTTACTCTCCGGTATATTCAGCACAGTAACTTAGTTCTGTAGTGAAATTCTTTCTCTACTGTTATTTTCATTCCCTGAATTATCCGTTCGTCCTGCATATGATCCCATGAATTTTGATCGTTTTTACTCATTCTTGCCCATGTTCCCTTGCTAGAAACGCCACGTTGAATCTCAAATCGAGGGTAACTTTGGGATTGACCCGAGCTGCATTGTGTGTTGGTTCTTTTTCTTTTACTCCATTCATCATTAAATTGTTGTAGAGACCTACTGGCTCTCTTGAACCCAGTGTTGGAGAACTACAGTAGGCGAACCTCAGATTCGGCACCTCCATGCCGAATAATTAATTAATTTGGAAAAAGGCCATTCGGCTACTTAAAAAACAACAAAACAAACTTCGGCAGAAAATCACAGATTACTCTATTTAGGACTATTAGATACCCACAAGGTTTGATTCCAAGACCTCATGACTCCAAACCCTGAAGCCTCATGCCCATGCTATCCAAGGCCAAGGCTTTCCCAAGCCCACCTCGGCTTTGATATCTTCAAGAAGCATCAAATATGCTTATTAACATTTTTCTGAATTTCGGCTTTTTCACCTAATAATTTCCCAAAAAATTCGGCATGCCATTTTTGAATTAACTAAAGCCGAATCTGAGGTTCACCTACGATATCCTTTGGAGCCTATGCCCCGACCGAGGCAGACTTCAACGACAATGCTTCAGTAAGCAAATGCCTTTGTCCTTTTTCTACGTTTCCATCGATTTGCCAAGAATTCAAAAGTGAGGGCTCTCCACAACACAGTTATTGAATTTAAACCGTAGAATTTAACTTCTACAAAAGGTGTCTTTAACCTTTAAAAGACATTTTGCCCCTTGGAGGACAAATCACATTTCGGGCAGGTTCTTGTGAAGTCATTTTTGGTCATAAACTTTTGAAACTTTTTGTCAAGATGCAACATAGTAGTAGCTTCGTGGAAATGTAATTTTTTTTCATACCGGACCTCTATCAAAAAAGTTATACTACTTTGAAGGCAAATTCTTGGACTCCAAAGTTTTGCTAAAAGCTTCCATCAACATTGAGATTTTGTATACTAATAGATAATAATATTTTATCAGGAACTGCCAAAAAAAAATTCTTGTCTTTTATGAAATATTTAATTTTAATGCAAGTCAAACATTTACACACTATGTCGGGCAGGGTTCAAAAAAAAACTTCTTCTTTTCCACATAAAAACTAGAGATTTTGATATTTTTTTAGTTTTTATTTTTCCTATTGCAAGATGTAGAATATAACTTCTTTTTGACTGTTGGGATTCCCATTTTATAACAAATTGACCTCACATTAAATTAAAATGTGTATTGGCAATTTTTGAACCTCCATCCCTTCCACAATTCTTTTGAATATGCTACATCCCTCATCTACCTCTAAAAATTGGCACACATTGAATTGACATTGTATTCACCATCATAGTATAAAAATTTGGCCTTGTGTAATGCAAAAAAATTGATACCAAGTAAAGACCAAGTCAGCTGGACCTTGAGTCGCAAGGAAGAAAAAAGTCTTGTTTTGCACTTTAAATATTATAATCTTCCAATCCGTACGGTCAAATTTCATGAAAACTGGAGAACATGTTGTTATAGTTGGTATAGTTAAAGATCTTACGGTTTAAATTATAATTTTAAGTTTTTTTTTTTTTTTTTTTTTTTTTTTTTCTCTCTCTCTCTCTCTCTCTCTCTTTGCACTAGAAAATGTAGTTATGAAGGGTTTTTGGTGAAAAATGAGCAAAGAACTTGAGGGGTTAAAGAAATCAATAATATTTTTAGAATATCCAACATATTTTCATATAATTAACTTAAATACAGTTGCAAGAAGCATAATTTAAATCTATGTCATCCACCCAAAACATTTTAACCTTCAAATTTAAGTGTGAATATTCAAACTTGTACATAATTCATCTACACTTCCCCTTAAGGTTTGTTGTTCAACTTATTGCCCTTTATCTTTTTTTCTTTAGCATCTTTTATTTCCTATTAATTTTTTTTTATTGACTCATTAGAACAATTTAGTTAAATATTGGTTGAATTAGATTCTTGATACAATTTTATATCCCAAGAAATCACCACAAAGATAAAAAAAATATATATATATTCATACAAAATCAAAATGGAAAGACGTGTATACAGGTGATGAACATTTCAAATCTGGTTAGTTACACCTGAACAATGGACCACTTTTGGCTTCAAAGACCAAAATCTGCAACAAAAAAAATTATCGTCTCTAAAAAGTTAAATAATTAATGGTTGTTGTTTTAGAAAAGGGTTTTGTTACTAAATTCTAGAATCACATATATATATACACACATATATATATATATATATATATATATGTGTGTGTGTGTGTGGGGGGGGGGGGTGGGTGTTCTATAATATATGAATGGATTTTAAAGAAATTTAAAATGAGAGAATGATGTGAGACGCCTTATGATTTATAAAAGTTAATTTACTTTATTTATTTGTACTAAATTATGCTACCATATGAAACATATACATATCTTTAGCATAGCATCAGAGCTGTTATTCGGGGCGCTTGATTTCCTCCTCTTTTGACACAATTTCATGTTTTATTTTTGTTTTTTTTCCCCTAACTTACCTTCCATCATATCTACCAAATATAATAAAATGGTTTCCATAGTTCTCCTTTGATCTTGATCTGATTTTTAAAAATTTTGAAATCATACTAAAGTCCTACCATCTTTTGATTTTGTTTAATTGTAACTATCTTAATCTTATTCTGGAGCAAAAGAAACTGAAAATGTTGTTTAAGATAGCATTATATTGCAAGATCGGTCAATTGAATAATAGATTTCAAAAAAATCTATGGAGTCATGTGAAAAATAAATTCTAGATCTAACTTGCAGTGAAATTCAAGTACATGCTTTTTGAAGACTCTTGGATAAACAAGTATTTAATATTTTTACGAAGTATTCCAAACACATATTTCAGATTCCTAAACATAACCAACACATAATTCCATACTCAAATCTTCCTATTCTAAAAGCATAATCCTGTATTTTCGCAAGGGAATTAAAGTACAATTTAATCTTCTTAAAATTAGAAGATCATGTTTTTAAATTTTACACTATTGGTTTACTTTATTTAGAGGTCAAATTTTTTAATTTTTTTTTGGATTAAGAGAGTATTTGAATGTAAGCAAATAGATTTGGTTTGGGCAAGTTACATTTTAGTATGAATATATATATTTTTTTAAATGATTTTAGCTATCTGAATTGCAAGCTCAAGTAGAGAATGGTCAACAAAAAATAAAATAGAGTGGATTGCAAAACAATATTTAAAAAGGATTTCACTTGGTTCAGCTTTTGTGCTTCAATATTCTTTGTTTTATCCTTTCTGCCAAAACATCTTTATGTAAGTCACTTATTCTGATCTGTTTGTAGTCAAGTAAACAAAGCAAATAACATTTTTCAACAACTCAAGAGTGTCATATTTTTTCCAAAGGTGGTGCCTATTGTAATATAAATAAGTCAATTGGTCTTTGTCACTAAGCAAATAATAACAAAGCTTCATTAACATTGAATAAAATACAAATGCAATCTGTATTGAACTTTATTTGTTAAAAGTTGAGAATTGATTCGGTCAAAAAATTTGATTAATAAAAAATTAAATCCAGTGAATCGTCATCCAAAATGTTAGGATCATTATAATTTTATAATATTATTATGATACTGAAATTCAAAGAATATTAAAAAAAAAAGAAGCTAAATATCAAATTCAATCATTATAGAATACAAATTTCTTTTACTTATTCATTGAACACCGAAAGAAACAGTAAAACATTTTTTTAAAACAAACAAACACATATAGTTACTGTCAAGCTCAATGTTTATGTGAAAAGTTCAAACTGACAGTCTATAATGGCAATTTACATGTTTTAGTTTACGATTTTTATTCATGAAATTTGCTATATTTATAACATAAGAATTAAAAAATTTATTTTAAAATTTATTATGTGTGCTAGAGATATAAGAAACCTTTCTCTCAATATCATCGTTGAATTCTTCTACTACGGTTTGGATGCTTATATTTAAAAGGAGTATTAGGAAGAGCTGCATTTTCTGTTGGTTTTATACCTGCACTATTTTTATATATTTTTATCATTATCACTAGTCGTTGGTGCTTGCTTTGCTATGCATTAACCAGGTTTAGGGTTTAGGTTTAGGGTTTAATGCGTAGCAAACCATACCATTTTAATTTTAATATAAAAACTTCATGCATTTAAATGCAGAGTAATAACTTCAATAAGTCTTCAAATAAAAATTATTTAAATCTTCTTTAAAAAATTCTGACAAATATGCATACATTGAACTATTGTATAATATCAATTTTATTCAATTAAGTGTATACAATGATGAAAATAAATATGCATGCATTAGAATGCAGAGGCATCCAAACACAAATAGCAGAAATGTTTGAAAAATAATTTGGTTGTATTTAAATTTGTTTAAA